ACCAGGGACCAACTAAGAGACATGCTTCCAGGCGGACCCATGAGGGTACTTCCTGAAGATTAACCGAGGGGAAGGACATTCTATGAGAGCAGGTGGCACCTTCCCATGGTGGCAGCAGTACAGAGAGGTCTAAGGAAAATCAGGACCACTGTTACCTGTTTGCCTGTGGTCCTCGGTGAGTGCATTTATCCTGTTACATGAAACCCAGTTTCTTCAGGCTTTCAAAATCAAGCCTGGCATCCCTCTGGGAATCCTCCAGGCCTTCACTGTCAGGTCTAGCCTCAGTGACTGAACGGCTTCTGAGTTTTCTGCCTCTCCAATGTGCAGGCAGAAATCATTGGACTACACAGCCTATACCATGTATGTTGATTTGAAAGAAAATGGTCCCTAAAGGGAGTGGCACTTTTAGGAGGTGTGGCCTTTTTTGGAGGGAGGAAGCCTGTCATTGTGGGGGTGGGCTTTGAGGTCTCTTTTGCTCAAGCTTCCCTCAGGGTGACAGTCAGTTGACTTCCTGTTGCCTGCAAGATGTAGGACTCTCAGCTCACACACCATGTCTGCTTGCCTGCTGCCCTGCTCCCCATCATGATGATAAGGAACTGAACCTCTGAAACTGTAAGCGAGCCACCCCAATTAAACGTTTTCTTTTTAGTTGCCATGGTGTCTCTTCACAGCAATAAAAACTATAACGAAGACACCATGTAAGCCAATCTCTTATCCCCATTTTGTAATGCATTTTATCATATTTTTTCTGTTTCTCTAGAGAACCCTAATACATGCCCAAAGGATGTCTCATGGCCAGCACTTATAGTGCCTCCATTTTGCTGTTAAAGAAACCAAGAAGGTGGGAAGCTTTGTTTTTAAAACAATGGGTTTTATGCTAAATTTTCATTTGTGCACATCATCGTGTTTTGCTTAAAGCTGACCTTTCACATTAGCTCTTTGACTTCTTCCCATGCCCAGGTCAGCTAACCTGATGAGATATAATCGCTCTCCTGCTTACACTTCATCCTGAAGCCTGCCTCTCTGCTGCCCCTCCAGGAAAGGAACCTGGTGACTGTTCTACTTCATTTGGCCTCGCTCCCATCTATCAGATCCTCCTCACGAGAAACTGGACTTGATGCTTATATTAGCATCTAAGTTAGCAAGTGGGCTATACTGCAGCAGTTTAAGCACACCTTTAGATTATAGTCCTCCACCTGAGATAAACATCAGTCTACATGGCCGATATAGCACATACAACTCATCAACTAGCTAGCCATGGAGCAAACACAGAGGAGGGACAGGAAATATGTTTTTGGAGTGCACATGGCTTTGGATGTTCATGACCTTGTACATAGAATGCCAACAAAAATGGCCAGTCAACAAGGTGTCGTTTACACTTCTATTTTCCAGAAAAAGGGCTGTTTCAAAGGAGAGGGACTTTGACAAAGAGGGTTATGTTGAAGCTTAAAATAAAAAGGAAAGAAAAAGTACTAAGCTAAGAAAGGAGGCTTACCCGAAGTCATGGCTGAAACCAAGTAGTTTGTCAAAGGACGCACCCCTTGTGGGATTCAGTAACACCTTACAAAACACAATGTTTAGACCCTGACTCCAAGGAGGAAGACAGGGGAAAATTTAATTTTTTTGATGTGGGAGTCTTCTGTTTTGAGTTGATTTCATTGGTTAAATAAAAAAAAAAAACTGCCTTGGCCCTTTAATAGAACAGAAAATTAGGTAGGCGGAGTAGACAGAACAAAATGCTGGGAGAAGGAAGCTGAGTCAGGCAGTCGCCACGATTCTCCCACTCCAGACAGACGCAGGTTAAGATCTTTCCTGGTAAGCCACCTTCTGGTGTTACACAGATTATTAAAAATGGGTTAATCGAGATTTGAGAGTTAGCCAATAAGAGGCTGGAACTAATGGGCCAGGCAGTGTTTAAAAGAATACAATTTGTGTGTTATTTCGGGGCATAAGCTAGCCATGTGGGTGGCCGGGTGCCAGAATGCAACCCGCCGCTCACTACAACACTTTTTAGCTAACCTCAGGTGCCCCCAAGTACAGACTGTGCAGCCAACAGGCAATCATGATGTGGGCAACTCTTGCACTAGATCTTTACACACACACACTGCTACAGTACTTCCTTAGTGGAGTATCTCCTAGGACGCCAGAATTCTGCCACTCTCAGTGTCATTTCCTTTCTTTCTTTGGAGGCTGTGTCTCCCACTGTAGTGGTGACCTGCCCATCTCAGCCTCCCAGGTGTGGAGAGTACTACTCTTACCGTGATCCTGGTATCTCCCCCACTGGGTTCTTCTTCCTAATCTTAGAAATCATTATAAGCCCACTTTTCTATCTATAAACTGAGGACGATCCTCAAGCTTCTGGTCTGACTCCTTACCCTGTGGTTTTCAAGAATTCACGAACTCACTCAACCAGGCCCCATGACCACAGAAGCACCAGGAAAATTCCCAAGTCCTTTAAGACTTTCAGGGTGATCCAAAATATGTGAAGGGCACAGCCTCGATGGGAATGAAGAATTCACAACAGGGACGTGACGCAACACCGTCCAGCTACTACTAGCTCAGGCCCTGGTTTCTGGCCTCAGCACAAGCCGCCGGATTATCTAAACACAGACTAGACATTTAAAAACCTATGAAAGGATCAGAGTGCAGGGGAGGTAAAAACAGTCAAATAAGAAGATAATGTTGTTCCGGTCCTAAGTCTGGACTAGTGACAAAAATGGAACACCCAAAGTGACCTTTATATTTTTATTCATGAAGTTGACAGTTTTCAAAGTAAGTATCTGCATTATGAAATTTCAAAACTGTTTCTACTCTTCCGGTTGAAAACTGGCTACTGTATTTAGGCTGTAGGATGTCCCCCTTTTATCTTTCCTATCAACACCTATTTTAAGTGTCACCTGATGCTGGTATCCTGGTAGAGAAGGGAGTTGATGTCACAGTGGCTCAAATGCTCTCAAGGCTATGGGTTCTCTGCTTACTGTCCAACCCCATTCCCTGCAATGCCACCAAAGGTAAGATGTGTCCCAGCCAAGTCTCCTGTATCTGTGCTTATTGGCCAGGTCTTGTAATTTAACATGTCCCCAAAGCTGAAAACACATCTCGTCACCAACACACAATGCCATAATCACAAACATAATGTTCCCCATGTTAACACTAGAAATGAATAGAGCATATCCGCTTATTCTCTAGGGGGATGATTGTCCTTGCTACAGGGCATGGCAATGGGACAAAATCAAACCATCCTCTGTACACGAAATCTGATTTCTCATGATCTTACCTAAGATGATCCATCCTCTGACAGCTAGCACCCTAATGAACTGGGACATCCTATAAAGCTAAGGTGCTGCAATCAAAAACATAAGGGGGACTTCCTGTGTGGGCTACAATGCCAGTCTGGACAATCTGCTGATGTGGGATTCCCCTCTGTATGCTGTTAATATCACTGGTGAATAAGGAAACTGCTTTGAGCCTAGAGCAGAGAACAGAGGTAGGTGGGGAAAGCTAAACTGAATGCTGGGCAAAGGAAGTCGGAGTCAAAGGGAAGCCATGTAGCCACAGGAGCCAGATATGCTTGAAACTTTGCTGGTAAGCCACGGCTACGTGGTGATACACATATTAATAGAAATGGGTTGCCTTATTATTTAAGAGGTAGCCAATAAGAAGCTAGAATGAATGGGCCAAGAAGTGATTTAATTAACACAATTTCTGCATGATTATTTCGGGGCTGAGCAATCAGGAACCAGCGGCCCTACCACAATCTGCATACTGGAGAGACTCACTCGCTGTTCCTCGTACACTTCCTCTCTGTATCTTACACAAGTGGTTCTATCACAACAATCTGCATACTAGAGAGAGAGAGAGAGACTCGCTCGCTGTTCCTCATGCACTTCCTCTCTGTATCTTACAGCCACAGAGGTGAAGCCCTCAGCCTCCTGACCAGCCCTTAGAGGCTGGGGAAGCTACGCTAGGTGAGCATGCTTGAAGAGGAGGGGTGGTCCTCGATTCCATCTGTCTAGGGGTATTTAAGCAGCTTTCATTTATGCTTTCTTTACGCAGTGGGAAGCATGCTTCTACCTCAATTCTTTTACATATAAAACATTTGTCTTTGACTTGCTCTTGGATATATTTATCTAGTTTTCCACTCAAATAGCTGGCCATATGGCAGGACATGGAAGAATCATTCACAGGTTTGGTATGTTTAGAAGGAATCAAATATCACATGAAGGCACTAAACCCTCATGGAGTTTATGCCACTGGGCAAAAAAACTAGCTGTTTCCACTACCAAAGATACATCTGAGCTTTGGGCATCTTTGCAGCTTTTGTGGTCCAGACTAACCCTAAAAGTAGGAAAAAGCAAAGGACGGCAGGATGACCTAGAGTTTGGCCCTGAGGTGTGAGGAGGGTGTTGGTGACACATGTCTGTTGAACACACAAGTGTGCACTGAAACAACTTTGGTTCCTAGTACTCAACAATGTGGTCACAGACAAGGCTGGTATTACTAAGGAGTTTGCCCTGGATGGAGGAGCTGATGGGGCTTGAGCTTGTGGGAGCCCAAACACCAAGGCTAAAAGGAACAGAAGTGGCTGATCTATTAAGCTTTCTAACTGGCTGACAGTTTGCATTTACTATCTGTGACTTTTATTTACACTATGCAGATTTTAATAACCGTGACAAGATAACCGAAATTAGCAGCTAAAATTTCCAGAGGACAGTGAGTATCAACACGGAGCACTGCTCTGTTCTAAGGAAAGTTTCCCACGAGGAAGAAATCCTGGAGTTGCAGGTTTAAGCAACTTACCGCTTGAACACTGAGCAACACCCACCTGCAGCACCACGGCCACCATCGGTGCTGCTCTCCCATGCTTCCCTGCGCCACTGCAGTTCTCCCGTGGGTGCTCCACAGATTGTGACGTTTTAACTAAAAGTCAACAACCCGACTTCAGTTTTGCAACCAGAAGTTAGAGAAAAAATTGGACACATTTTATGATTTATCATTTTATTTACACAACTGAAAGTATTTCCTTAGTCACCTTGATTACAAAAACAAACCAACACGGTATGGTTTAATAGCTTTTCTATAATGAATCTTACAAATTTTAATAGCTGACAGATTGCTACTTAATATTCAGTAACATTTAATATGTGGTAACTTCTGCATATATATAGATGAAAATCTGTCTGATAGTGCTAACAAGAATGGGTACTTTAACAAGAATAGGTACTTTTCTATCTCTGGAACAGACAGACCAGTGGTTATTGTTAACTCCCCACAGATGGGCCAGCTATTCAGATTTGGAGCTCTCAGCCTATGAGAGCCAACCTGCTGTAGCAATTGGCACTTACTATGTAGGCATGTTGAATAATCTGAGTTTATCCTTATTTTTGTATGTAATAAAACTATCATTAAGCAATCTGAAAAACAAAAAGGGCCCCATGACTACAGACAGTTAAAACTTATCACAGTGTATCTGAAAAAAGAGATGGCCCAAACTAAAGCCATATTATATGCCTAAGTATTTTTTCATCTTCCTGTCTGGCCTGGTTGTGTGTCCACACAAATATTACACTCCTAAGGCTCTATCTGGTATACTTATCTGAGCATTCTCAGCCACATAAAACGTCACAACTTTATGGTGTTTGCGAAATGCCCATAAACTAGTGTTTTCCTAGGATTATTTGAAAGTCCTATCACAGTGCTTTAAGTCTGAAGCCCAGGCAGTGTTTTGGTGATATAACCCTTTCCTGGGAACTGACAGTCCAGAGATAGCCGAAAGGGCTGCGGAGACTTCTAAGAGCCACCCCTGAAACCCTGCGGGAGGGTGGAGTGTCCGTGGCTACAAACCATCAGTACAGAAAGATAAGAACCTTCCACGTGAGTCATGGTGAGAACTGAAGAAACCAAAACACGTGCCATGACGGACAGGAAGAGCTGACACACGAGCCTTCCACACCAGCTCTATAAGAGCCAAAACCTCGCTCTCTCCTCAGTCCTTACCAGGGCAACTTCTTACAACTAGCTGGACTGTTCTTCCCTTTGGGCATTGACAGGATACCAATCACATCGAGACAAACCCACCTGCCCCAATGCCGAGACAAGCGCACTCTTTGGTGGTGGGATATACTGCAGGATGGTGTGCCGGGGGGGGGGGGGGCAGCGTTTCTGGCTCAAAGCCTCTGCAATTCTGGGCCTGAAGGACACTTTGCTCCAAACGCCCCCTTGTCTTCATCCTGTTCTGGTCAGTTGGTGGTAGTCACTCAGTGCTGAATGCGTGATAATAATGCAGAGGGCTCAAGGGAAAGTCAGTCCTGTGGGGCCACTTCTCTCAAGCTTGCCTCGAACACAGCAAGGACAGCACCGAATCCCTCCATTGTGCTAAATCTAAGTCATTTAACCATGACGGAAACAAAACATTTTCCTAAAAAAAGTTATATGCTTAAAAAAAAAACAACAACCAAAAACCTATATTCAGGATGTCATATACTGCCCTGAGGTCCCTTCTCCCTCCCAGCCCTGGCGGACTCTGACGCTTTCACCGAGATCCTTACCGGGCTCTCTCTCTCTCTCATTCTAAACAAGGACAGGTCATCCTGGCCTCTTGATTCAACTGATGTTGTTGTTTGAATGTGTGCTTCATGGTAAAACATTTTTTCTGTGTATGTGGTAGGTTTTTACCCACCAGAAAAAACCAAACAGCTCAGGTACAACTTCTCATACAAGTTGTGAATGGCAGACTCCACACACGTGAACACAGAGCTCGTGGGTGTCTACTGAAGAACAGACCAAAAGGGAAAGGGGATCTACCCAGAGCCCCGGACACCCAGCCAGTGGGGCAGGTGTGCTAGGAGGGAGGACCACCGGCTACTCCAAGTAAAACCACTTTGGAAACCAGCTAAAACAAACTACAGAAAACAAGTCTGCCACCTGGGGCTGGTCTTGGCCAGTGTGATGTGCACAAAGAGGCCGGTGGACTTGGTGCTCTTGGCATGTTTCTTCCCCCTTGGGAGTCCGTTACCGTTCACAAAGGAATGTTAGCTATCAAATGTGTCCATTAATTTTGCCGCTGAGGGTGAAACCATCCAGTTAGCATATACACTATCATTTGCATATCTTGGGAACCCAGTGCTAGTGCCATCGGCTCTCGTGAGTGGTACAGGACTCTCTCCAGGCCAGTTCGGGTCTGACATGCCTAAAAATGAAAACAGATAATTTGTTCTGCACTGAAGGACTCAAACTTCATGTGCAGACAGTAAGGCCTTGGCAAAACTCCCTTTGACGGTTAAACCAACTTGCACTTTCTGTGCCCATTACATTAATGGCTTTGCATCCCAGGTTTCCAAAACACTGTTTGACTTTGGGCAATACCACACGCTCCTGGCAAGGGTAAGTTAGCAGATTCTACCCAACTCAACGTCTGTGAGTTTAGGCTTTCGAATCTGAAATAGATCTGGTGAAGCACCTAACTGTTCTAGGACGGTGTAAAAAGCATCAGCAAATGGCTGGACTACACAGCTTCCTGTGGTGGGAACACTGTAGACAATGTTCTGTCATCCCAGCTAAGATGGAGGATGAAGGGCGTCCCGTCCCACGGAGGGCACACACGGGCTGCCCCGCAGCATCGGCAGTACTCAGCCAGTGAGGACCTGTGACTCAGGAAGCATGTGGAAAGAACCTACCTTCACTTGAAAGAGCTCGAAGCTTCAAGACTTCAAAAAGGAACAAGGATGAAGTTAGAAAGCGGAAAAAATTTCAAGTATTTAATCCAAGACAAAGAAGGAGTTTTGGCAAGAACCGTATTTACTGTCCATTGCAAGGCCACAGCACCACAGACTATGTTCTTTCAGAAAGCATTGGCTCAGTGTTTAGCACTGGCTTCGTAAGGGACAACATTGGAAGGGGGGGGGTACGGTGCAAAGGATGTGACAGCCGCAGTCTGGTGTCTGCCCAGGGCCCACATGGTTGTCCCGCTGTCCCACACTGTGTGGCAGTGGACAAGGATCTGAAAGCGGGAGTGTGGAAGGGCTTTCCTGTGGCTCATCTCAGCCCAGGCGCCCTCTAGCTGAGCTCTCACTGCAAACTGGGGGTGCCAACTGCCCCTTGCTCAACTGAATCCCTCCCCAGATGAGGCAAATTGATCTAGGTAACGAAGTCAGAAGTACTGTGAGTTGCTTCCCAACGTCCCCTGAGAATTCTGCTCTAATCCGCTTCTCCCGTGTCATCTTAAGTTGCTGGGCTGCGTGGGAATGACACTTATTCTCACATCCTTTGAGAAAGACATAGCTGCAAAAATGCCTGAATGTAAACTGGATGCAAAGTCAGGTATTTACAAAGAAAAGGGTTCAGAGGAGGCTTTGGTTTCGTTGGGGGTCAGAGACACTCAGTACAGAGTGCTGAGGACAAGCAGTACAGAGAATTGGGATGGTGCAGAGGGAGCAGCGTTGCTAGAATCTAGTAAATGCATGTGAAATTCTACCATAGAGTTTGTTTTCAATCCATGTAGAAGGGAGGGAGCGCGGGAGGGGAGCACTGTTACAGTCCACCAGGGGCGTCTCCTCTTCTGAGAGGCCGTCATCGTAAAGCAGAGAGTCAGACGGGGTGGATGCTGCCAGGTCCAAGTAGTCCTGGAAGAGAGAGAGAGATGGCCAGTCATCTTTGACCCTGGACCATTCCTCAACATTCAAGGCCCCTTAATGCCAACGAGCAGAGGTTCTGGCTGTGTCCCTACGCTGCTCTTTTATCTCAGCCTCTGTGGGATCACGGAACCCCCTTTTCTCTCAGCCTCTGTGGGATCACAGAACCCTCCCCACACTGGGGGGATGGCACTGAGGTGCAGCACTAAAGTTCCTTAATCCGCCCAAGAGCATAGGGCTGCGGGAGTGGCTTCTTTGCAACTTCTTGGGTCCAGAAGGACTAACTATGGTCATGTTATTCCTGCAGAAGCGGAATGCCAAGCGGTAGATTCGACCCAATGGGTGCTTTCCAGCTTCCCTCCCAGGACCTCTGCAGTCATGGGGGTTACAGGTTCCCACCCCCATGAACAATGAGTGTTGGGTACCTGCCACTGTTTAGCTATGTAGACAGTCCCAATGCCATCCTCTCAGTTTCTCAACACTGTGATTTTGGCATCTGCTACTACTCATGCCCAGGACAGCCCTGTGCCTACAGATCTGGGAGATTTTCTCAAGATACAGCAAAATTGGGTGAGTTCAAGGCTGTTCCCCACTTTTTCTTCTATTGATTTTGAGGTCTTCGATCCATTTTTGTGAAGGGTGCTAAGTATGAGCGATCGTATTCTTCACATGCAGCCACCCAGTCCGAGGTGAACCACTTGTTGAAAATGCTGGCTTTTTTTTCCTGTGTATTTTGTTGTAAATAAAAAAATCAGGTGTCCATAGGTATGTGGATTTATGTCTGGGTCTTCAATTTTCCACTGATCAATGTGTCTGTTTTTGTGCCAATACCATGCTGTTCAGATTGTACCATAGCACAATCTGAAATAGGGGATGGTGACACCTTTTGCAGCCCTTTTGATTGATCAGGACTGTTTTAGCTATCATGGATTTTTGTATTTCCATACGAAGTCAAAAACTGTCCTTTCAAGATCTGTGAAGAACTGTGTTGCATTTTGGTGGAGACCGCATTGAGTCTGTAGACTACTTTTGGTAGTATGGCCATTTTTTTACTGTATTAATCTTACAGATTCATGGGAGTGCTTTCCATCTTCTGCTATCTTCAATTTATTTTTTCTTAAAGTTCTTATCATACAAGTTTTTTACTTGCATGGCTTGTTACCGAGATATTTTATATCATTTGAGGCTATTACAAAAGGTGTTTTCCCCATAATTCTTTCTTAGTCTGTTTGTCATTTGTATACAGGAGAGCTACAGGTTTTTTTTTTGAGTTAATTTTATGTTCAGCCACCTTACTCAAAGTGAGAGTTTCTCAGTGGATTTTTTCAGGTTCCTTATGTGTACTATCCTACCATCTGCAAAGAAAGATACTCTGATTTCCTTCAGTTGTCTTACTGCTTTAGATAAGACTTCAAGTTATTCTGTTAAATAGATATGGAGAGAGTGGATAACTTTCATTTCTGATTTTAATGATAACGCTTTGAGTTTCTTTATAAATTGATGCTGCCAATAGGAATGCTCTAAACTATGTTGAGGTATATGTCCCTTGTATCTCTAATCTCTGCAGAATTTTTATCATGAAGAGATGTTAGATTCATCAAAAGTCTTTTCTGCATCTAGTGAGATGGTCATGTGGTTGCTATCCTTCAGTTTGTTTATATGGTGGACTACGTTGACAGGTTTACCCATGTTGAACCATCCCTGCAGTTCTGGGAGGAAACCTACTTGATCAAGGTGGGTGTTCTTTCTGACGTGTTCTTGGATTCAGTTTGTAGGTATTTTATTAAGAATTTTTACAGTTTAATTATAAGAGAATTCTGTAATTCTCTTTTATGGCTGGGTCTTTATGTGATTTAGGTATCAGGCTAATTGTGGCTTCATAAAATGAATTGGGCAAAGTTCATTCTTTTTGTATTTTGTGAAATAATTTGAGGAGTATTGGTATTAATTCTTCTTTGAAAGTCTGGTAGAATTATGTGCTAAAATCATCAGGCCCTGCATCTTTTTTTTGGTTGGGAGACTTAAAGACTGCTTTTATTCATTAGGGGTTACAGGTCTGTTTGAATTGCTTATCTTATTTTTATTTAACTTTGGCAGATGGTATATATTGAGAAAATTAGCCATTTATTTTAGATTTTCTGATTTGATTTGTCCTTATTAATTCTCTAGTTTCCTCAGTGTTTGTTGTTATGTCCCCCCCTTTCATCTCTAATTTTGCTAATTTAGATAGTCTCCCTTTCCTTTTACTTAATTTGGAAAATAATTCCCAAGCAATTAATATCAACAATTAGTAAGTGGGATCTCATGAAACTGAAAAGCTTTTGTACAGCAAAGAACACCATCATTCAGACAAAGTGGCAGCCTACGGAATGGGAGAAGATTCTTAGTATCCCTACATCTGATAAAGAGCAAAAATAAAAATAACATATAAATAACTAAAAAAAAACCCTGTGTATAAAGGAAACAAAATAACCTAATTCAAAAAGGGGTACAGATATAAACAGAATCTTCAAAAGAGCAAACTCAAAAGGGCTGGGAAGCACTTCAGTGTTCACCATTCTTAGTAAACAGGGAAATGCAAACCAAAACTACTTTGAGATTTCATTCTTACACCTGTCAGGATGGCTAAGATAACAAATGACAGCTCATGCTGGTGAGGATGTGGAGTAAGGGGACACTTATCCATTGCTGGTGCCAGTGCAAACCTGAGCAGTCACTATGGGAATCAGTGTGACAGTTCCTCAGGAAGGTGGAAACTGATGTACCCCAAGATCCAGCTGTATCTACCGGGGGCATATATACCCCCAAAAAGATGCTTCGTCTTATTATTGAAACATTTGCTCAGCCATGTTCATTGCTGCTCCATTCATAATAGCCATAAATTGGAAACAACCTAGATTTAATTTTAATTTAAAAATTAAAACATGAAATTTGCAGGTAAATGGATTAACTAGAAAGAAGATCACCCTGAGTTAGGTAACCCAGACCAAGAATGACAAATAAGTTCCGTATTTGCTTATATGTGGATGTTAGCTGTTAAGTCAATGATAACCAAGCTATAGTCCACAGAACCACAGAGGTTAAGTATAGTGACCTGGGGGAGGGAAGGATCTCCCTAGGCAGGGGAAATAGAATAGTTATGAAGAGGAATGGGATGATCAAATGGGGAGGGGGAGGGAAGTGGGGATGAAGGCAGGGATACAGGGAGAGGTAGCTAAAATTAAGGACCACTAGAGAGATAACATGGAAACCCAATACAGCAGAAGCTTCCTAAAACATATACATATATCATGGCAATATTCCAGGGATGGGTTACAACTAATAGAGAAAACCCAGGCTGTTGCCATGGTTACTGGTTAGCCTCCATGAAGAGTCAGCAAGGCTCTGCTGCTCAAGACAACACCTACACAACTCACTGAGCAGAGACCTGGAGCTGGTGCCTACCTAGACCCTTCAACTCTACAGGTTAGTGTTCTTGGTACTGTAAGGAAATCTTTGCACACACCAAAGGAGAAATGTTAACACCAAACCATCTACGAATCCTTCCATCTACAATGGTGCCCTCCTAAGAAGACAGGTTAGTGCAATGGTGGCACAAAGCTTGGGGGAGTAACCAACCAGTATCTGATTTGACATGAGGTCCATTCCATGAGACAGAACCCATGCCCAACTCTGCTTGGGTGACCAAGAACCTGAGGCAAGATACCCCAGGAATCTAGTATTCTACTAAAGGAACAAAGCAATAAAATGACCTCTAATGACATTTTCCTATGCTCATACACATCAGAGCTTTCCTCAGCGATCATCAGAGACTTCTTTCTGCATGTATGGGTATAGAGACCTACAGCCAGACCATGTGCAGAGTTTGAGAGACCTTGGAACATTCAGCCCTAAGGGGAATGACTCCACCAATCCCTCCACTCAGACAGGGCCTTTCACTGACTCTGGAGTTGGTTCTCAGAAAGTCCCAGAAACCCTCCTGTTCCCGTCCCTGTCCTTCATAGCACTGGCCACACTTAGCATTTTTATAGATGCTGGAACTTGAACTCAGGTCCTCATGATCATGCCGGTGTCTTCCCAGCTAAGCCTTCCCTTTGGCAAACTCCTGAATTTTATCTCTGGGAGCCTAGATCATGCACTTCTGCTATTGGAATTCGAAGGAAGGACGGATCAGTACTTTTAGCACAGACGAAGACAAGGCCTTTATGGAAGTGGTGTGAGGATGGCTGCTTGCTCATGTTTCCCTGTCTCCCTAGCATCCAGTAAAAAACAGAACAAACAGTTCCTCAATAAATACCGGGCAGAAACCAATCGGCTTCCTCACCGTGGCACAGAGACTGACTATGACCACATGTTGTGTTTGGCTCACACCCGGCTTTGGAAATCTACAGGACCAGTTAATAAAATTTGGAGAAAAACATAAACTTCTTAAAATCCAGAAGACCTGGCATGCCTGAACTTCTATCCCGGTGAAAGCAAGACACCCTTGAAGAGACACTCACATTCCTGGGTGCCAGAACTCTGACATACTCTCCAGTACTTGCCTGTGAAGAGGTCTTGCCTGAAGACAAGCTAGAAACCAAGATGTTATTACTGGAAGGCTCAAGAGGACTGGCTTGAAGGGCAGGTTTTCATCGTCTGCCCGCCCTATGGGACAGCTCAGTCGTCTTCCTCTCGCCTGACAGTGGGGACAGAGAGCCTCAAACTAGCATCCCGCCGTGGCCTATGGCAGTGACTCTGGGACTCACTCTGCTCTTCATCATCATCTTCTCCAGATCCTTACTGATGTCAGCAAACACTGGCCTCTTGTCCGGCTCCTGCTTCCAGCACTGCAGCATCAGGCGGTACCTGGAGGAAGACACAGGCAGGTGGTGACGCCCTGGCGGGGCCCCCACACCCAGAGTCTGCACTCTGTATGCTGTTTCCGGACCATGTGCAACTCGGAGCCTCACTGGTCCCAAGGGCAGGGCACTGACAATGTGGCACAGCCCTCTGGTGGCCTTCTCAACATGAGTCAACCGTATTTGAACCTGCGCCCACTATGGTGGCTGAGTAGGAAGAAGCAAAGTCCTTACAACCTGTACAAAGAAGGAATCAATTAAAAGACTCTCAGGTGGAAATAAAAAGTCAGGTTGTCACAACTTTCTGACTGGATTTGAGGGTTGCTCACAGGAGGGAATTTCAAGCCTGATTCTGTAACCTTAGTCAAAAGCCCATGACTGGAGAGGTCCTGGGCCCTAGGGTAGAACCTGCTGCTGGTATTTTGCTAAATGGTCATGATGTCAAGTTGCTTTCAAAATAATTCCTATTTGCCGGGCGGTGGTGGCGCACGCCTTTAATCCCAGCACTTGGGAGGCCGAGGCAGGCGGATCTCTGTGAGTTCGAGGCCAGCCTGGTCTACAAAGGGAGTTCCAGGACAGGCTCCAAAGCTACAGAGAAACCCTGTCTCTAAAAACCAAAAA